CATTACAGAGTGTTTAGTACAAAGTGTAAAACCTGTTAAGTATTGAAATAATGAGGACATTTTTCACTTTCCACTTGTAAATTCCCATGTTTCAATTTATTTCCATATAAATGTATTGTTGCATAGGCTAATACAAAAAATTACAAACAAAAAAAAATCCCCGTTAGACGTATTGTACAACATATGGGAATGTGCAGATTATGTGATCTTTACTAAAAATCCATCTTAATGATGAAAGCACCATTTAACATCCAGACTGGAACTGCACTCATTCATTTATTTATGAGAGAGCACTTTCTGTAGAGAGGGAAGTATGCTTCCCTGCATAGGAGTGCATTATTTTCAAGGCATACGGTATGTTCACCAATTCATTAATTTATTTTGGTAACCAGTAAATGTCAAACAATATCCGTACACACTATTGACACATTAAGGTTTTCATTAAACAATGAAGATACCTTTCCTCATTACATTATATATTTATAGCATATAGAGCTGTCAAATAAATTACGGCAAAGCAGCTAAAGCCAGACCTTGTGACACTTGAATCATAGAATCAGGGCAAATAACCTTTAAAATGAAAGATATATGATGAAAATTAAGGCCATTTAATTTGCATAAATATAATGTTAACAATCTTCCCCTTATTACATATTTTATGCCTAATTTATAATTGTCACCATGTTTGTTTCTTAACACTGGTTTTGAATTCTATTTTTTTTAATCTTCACTTGCTTTGTTTTGGAATGAATGAAATGCTAACACTTTAAGAAGTAGAAGCTGATACCTGTATTTTAAGTAGGTGTTGAAGGACACATTCTAAGAGGAGAAAATCATAATTCAAATTATGGGGATTTGGAATTAATGCCTAAAAAAGGAGACAGCAAAATGTCAAATAAATATAAGAGCTCTGAAAATACTGACCTCCTCTTGAAAACAAATACAAGTCAATGCCCTCCTATAAAGTGCCACATACCCAAACTCTAAATACTGTACTACTGATTTTCATAAGCTACATGAAGTCTAAGTTTACTGCTTTGAGACTTGGGAGTGCAAAGTTGAGCATCTAAATTAATATTTAGACAACTAAATAAGTGACCTTATTTTTAAAGGTGCTTAGCACCCAGAGCCCCCACTTGCTTAATTTTTATATGCCTCCTTTACTTGTTTAATAGTAAACATGAAGCAGCAGAATACGGACCCTGGACTTCAGAAAAG